ACACCCAGAGAAGAGCAGTTGCTATGTGCTGAGCATTAACCCCTGCTCCTTGGTTGGGTGCAGCACCACGAAGAAGAGGAGAGCCCCGTGACTTGCAGCGACCATGAAGACGGAGAAGGATGAAACTCTGCCCAACTTCTCCCTGGGGGGGAAATACGTTGGGGAGGGAGCAGGTGAGTCCCTGGGATGGTGTGGGGCAGGCTGCTGTCTGAGGGGTGTGACGCTGGGGGACACCAGAAATCCCATTGTAGGCATAGAGCTATGGCCCCAACCCCACCCCAGATCACGCTCTGCTCCATAGCCAGGGCAGGGTTGAGGGTTTGGGATCACGATGGCTGCACAGAGCACTGACCCTACAACCTCTTCCCTGCAGGCCCCATGACAGCACTGGGGAGTGGAGGAGCCCCCCCAGCACAGGACCTGCGGCTCCTAAAGCGCCGTCCAGCCCCAGGTGAGCTGAGTGCATCACCCACCCTGCTGATCCGTGGGTGAGTAGGGATAGGGGATGAGGCCAATAGAGGTATCTTCTTGCAGGGAAGCACTACGCCTGCTCCAGCTATGGCTGCAAATTGGCCTTCCCCAGCATGCAAGAGCTGATGGACCACCTGAAGGTGCACTACAGACCCACGCAGTCCCTTGAGGGTAAGGGGATGGCAAGATGGGGATGTCATGTGGTGCACAAATAGTGCTCATGGAGCCCAGAGGGGGGTGTGGGGCACAGTGGTGGCACAGCATGGAAGGGGATGGGGACAACACCAGGATCCTCACCCAGGGGCACAGTGCAGCCAGGACAGTGCTGACTCAGCCCCATCTCTTTTTTTGCAGGCAAAACCTTCCAGTGCCCCACGCTGGGCTGCACAGAGACCTTCCCCAGCATGCAGGACCTCATGACCCACATGAAAGTGCACTACAAACCCAACCGCTACTTCAAGTGAGTCCTGGTTCCCCCCACTTGTCCTTGTCTCCCATTTGTCCCTATCCCCTTCTTGTTCCTGTCCCCACCCCATGTCTCTTCGTGGATCCATCCCATGTACACACAGCCCCATCCCATGCCTCATTTGAGGCCACCCAGTACCCCACCGTAACGGGGCAGACCCCAGGTCAGGGGGTCTGTGTGTCCCAAAGTGACCACGGGAGGACTGACTGCCCCAGACCTGACACTGCCTGTGGCCCCACAGATGTGAGAACTGCCTGCTGCGCTTCCGCACCCACCGCTCCCTCTTCAAGCACCTCCACGTCTGCTCCGACCGCGCCAGCAGCCCCGCACCGCCGCCCCAAAAGGCCGAGAAGCCCACCCTGCCCACCGCCTCCACCCAAGAGAAGGAACCCACAGCCAAACCACTCCCCGAGGGGCTGCCCAAGCCTCCCACCGTCATCCGGCACACGGAGAAAGAAGCCATCACCACAGCCCCTGGCACAGACACGGCCTCCAGCCTGCCCGACCTGCCCGGCTCGCTGGAAGCGCTGCCGCTCGTCCCGCCGGCCCCGCATCCCTTCCCGCTGCTGGAACCCAACCTGTTTGGCCCTCCGACCTTGACTCGCTTCTCGGGGCCTCCTCCTCCTCCTCCCCCTTCCTCGGTGCCGTTCCTCTCCTACATGCACCCCCCGGTGCCCTTCAGCCTGCCCACAGCCCAGCCCCGCCTGCGGCCCTGCTCGCCCAGCCATGGCCCGTCAGCCTCCAACGCCGTCTGGAAGAAGAGCCAAGGTGAGCACAGACGGCCCTTAGGGCAGTGCTTCTTCTGCTCTTGGACCAGGACAGCACGACGGCCAGCGAGGATCCCCCCTTCACCCCATAGCCCACAGCCTGGAGCTGCCCACCTCCACCGCCCTCTGCCTCATCCCACCGCCGTTCCCCGCCTCCCCCCACCAAATTGGGAAAGAAAAACAATGAAAGCGATCGCCAAAATCCTCTAAATTGGCTCAGCCCTGCTGCTCCCCCGCATGCTGGGGTGCCAGGCCTGCCCCCCACGTCCCCCCCCACCCAGGGAGGGGAAGGCCTAATGCTTGTCTCGCCCCTCGATTCCCTCCGCAGGTGTGAGTGTCAGCCCACTCCTCCCATGCTTTGGCTCAGGAGTGACTCCAGGTTAGTTCGGCACCGACTGGTTGGGGGCTGCTTTGTCACTGGGGGGGCGGGGGGAGGTGTAGGGGGGGACTCTAGGGGAGGGGAGAGCTCCCCGAGCACAATGGGGAGGGAAAGCACCCTCATTTTGGGGAGCCCTGTGCAGAGGGGATGCTGCCCAGGTAGGGGAGGTTGTTGCTGTCTGCATCATACCCCCCCACACCAGAATCTGCTAAGCTTGGGTTCAGCACCACCAAGAGGGGGTGCAGCAGTTGCTTGGACTCAAACCCCCCCCATTTTTCCAGCAGCCGTGGCCAAGGGACACTGTTTCATGTGATGCCCATAGCCAGCTCTGCTCTTAGATCTGGGGGCCTCTCCAGGATTTGGAGTCCCTCCAACAGAGCGGGGACTTATGCATATTGCAGGGCTCAGCGTGGAAAACTCCCACCCCACAGGTCCATGTAATACCCATGGCCAGCTACGTGCCAAGATTTGGGGTCCCCCCTCTAGATGCAGGGGGCTCTCCCAGATTTGGGGTACCTCCTTGGAGTGGGGTTCTCCTGCCCTGCAGCTCCATGGCACAGCTCCACGCAACACCCATGGCCAACTCCGCTTTTAGGTTTGGGACCCCTCTTGCTGTGGGGTCTCCCCCAGATCTGTGACCCGTTCATATTGCAGTGCTCAGAACGGGGAGCTTCTACCCCATTCGTGCCCACGGGTGCTGCCAGCAGGCTCTGTGCTTCCCTCCTTCACCTGTCCTTGCAGGGCACTCCTCCAACAGCCGGATCGTGTGGGAGCACACGCGGGGCCGCTACACCTGCATGCAGTGCCCCTATTCCACTGCCTCCCGGGAGGAGATGACTCTGCACATCGAGGAGCACCGCAAGAACCCAGCACCAGCTGGGCGCATGGACACAGACGTGGGTATGGCCTTGGGAAGGGGGCTATGGGGGACCCCAGGTGCTCTCTTTGAATGGGATTGAGCATGAGCATCCCCTTCTTTCCCTTCAGTCCCTAAGGGGTGAGAATGGGGCTCTCAGAGGGTGTGGTTTGGAGGAAGAAGGTGTTAATGTGGATCAACCCCACTGCTGTCCTCACGATAGCATCCCAGCATGCTTCCAGGCCACAGCATACCCCCAAAGCAACCTGTGCAGCTCAGCCCCCACACCTGACGGCTCTCTTCCTTTTCCCTACAGATTTTGGGGTGAGCATCGCCTCCTTCCACTCGAAGCTGACGCCAGAGATGGAGAACTCCCTATACTCGCAGCTCTGAGGAGCTCTGCTCCTGCTGAACTGAGGGCACCGCATGCTCCACGCCTCAGCACTGGGACCCTGGGAGCATCCCCCACCATGGGCTGCCAGAGGAGGGTGGCAATTGGTGTTCTCTTTTTTTTTTTTTTTTGAGTCTCCCTTTTATTTTTGAAATGCTAAGCCCCCTAGGAGCCCTCGTGTCCCTCCCTTCCCTAGAAGTTCTATTGCTCCAGCCTGCGAGGAGGGGGTGAGAGGTTGGGGGGAGCCCAATGGATGCTCAGGAACAAGGTCTGGAAATTAATAAATAGGAATTGTACAGGAGGAACGGCTGGGAGAGCCTCTGTGGGGGGCAACAAGGAGCTGTGCCAGCCCTAAGGAGCTGCCCCTCCACCCCAGAGAGGGGGCAGGAGGGGCAGCAGGGGCTCTGCATCGAACAGCAGGGGATCCCACCATGGGAAGGGTGTGGAAAGGGTGGGTTTGAAGGAGACACAGCATTTACAACAGACTCCATAGGGAGGAGGCCAGTATCATCCAGGTGCAGCTCCCGTCGTCCTGCTGCCCTATTGGGTGCTCAGGCTTTGCCCCCTGTGCTGCAGCACCTGGAGCTTTTATTTTCTTTGGCTGGAAGATGGATTTTCTGCAAGCAGTAGCTGAGAACTACTCTACTACTCATTCCATGTGTATCGCTCATAGCAGCTGGAGGGGAGGCACTGCAGGATTCCTGCAGCAGAGCTGAAGCTGCTCTTTTCCCAAGAACACCGACCCCATAACACAGATCTTGAGGGGGCTGCATGCTCCCAGCTCCCTCCATGCAGCCCTGCAGCCATAGCTCCAGCACGCCCAGCTTTGTGTATAGGGGAAGGTGAGCACAGGGAGCAGCCCCAGCTACTCCTGCTGGGGATTGAACACTGAGCAGCAACAGTGAGGCTGCACAAATCCTCACCAGCCCCTGGGCTGGCCACAGAGCAACGCCCTGGGCACAACCACCCTGCAAAGAGCCCACACAGAACTGGCAGTCACAGCTCACCAGGACCACGCAGCCCTATAGGCACCTTAAAACCTCAGGGAGGAGGCACAGCTCACCTTTCTGAGTCCTCCAAAGCCCTCCAACCTTGCCTGGGTTCAGGTCCCAACACCCAACCCCCTCTCCAGCGTTGCCTTTGGGGTGTACCAACACTGGGGCTGTTCACCCCTCTCCACCCTTAAGCTGTATCACTGTCCTCAGCAGGGCCTCCCAGCAGAGTCGAAGCCGTTCTCATGCACTTCTCAACATTTAACCGCAGACTTTTCCTACAGATAGAAAAGCAGATACACACCTACCTGTCCTTCAGCAGCCCCACAGCTCCCCATGAACCTGGTGCTGGCAATTCACAGGAGCAACCCACAACAGGAGCTGCCATACAACCATACAAACCCCACAGACACATCCTGCATGGCTTCCCCAGCACGTTTCCCATCCAAGCCCTCCATCCCCACCCCAATGATAACAGACAAGCTTCACTTACCGAGAATCCTCCACAAATTAAAAAAAAAAGGGCATGGAAAGGTGAGCAGAGCCATCACTGCTGTGGGAGAGGATCCAGCTGCTCAAGAAAAACTGCCCCAGAACTTCCAAGGCAGGGCTCCATGGGCTGCTGGCAGCTCTGGAGTTCCTAGAGCAGAGGCAGTGAAGACGACATTCATTGCAATGGATTTTTAAAAACTGAAGTCTTTATTAAAAGTTTTATCCAAATTTTGTAACAAAAGATACAAAAGGGCTGGAGATCCTTATTCCTGGGACTAGTCTGACCAATCGAAACCTGACAGTGACTAGGCTATTATAAAATCCATACAATCTGCTAAAAATGCAGGGAAAAAAATTAGAAGTAACTGCTGCTCTGATTTTTTTTTTTTTTTTCCTTTTTAAAATTCCTTTAACATTTATAAGTTACTCAGTTTGCATTTTACAGGAGTAGTTCTTCTCTGAATGGTTACAGCTACTGTACAATGCAAGAGACAACGGCAAGAACAGAACAAAGCAACAGAAACTCTGATGTGCTGCAAACACACACCACTCCTGAAGGAACTCTGTGAGCCTCACCTCCAGGCACCGGGTGCCAAAGCATCGCCTGGAGCACCGAGCAGAGCTCTGCAAAGTGCCAGTGCCCCCGCAGCAGTGGGATGCTCCCAGCACCGCGTTGCTCCCTCTGTCCCCAAACGCAGGCACCCAGCACCCAACAGTTCCCCACCCCTGCAGGCCACAGGGCCAGGTTTCTCCAGAAGCTATCAGCTGTGCCATCTGAACACGTCGTGGCAAAGGAAAGAAGGGTCAGAGGCCAGAAACCCTGCGGTGGAGAGCTAGCCCTGGTCCAATTCCCCCCTTCCCTGCTCCAGCCACTCCAGGTCAGAGGGAGACATGCCCCATGGCTGCTCCTGCAGCACGTGAACAGCATGAATGGGAGCAAGCTGGATTTCTGATCAATGGACTTCTCTTCATGTTGAAAAGGAAAAAGGAGGAGGACGCACACCAGGCAACTGTCCAGAGCTGTTACTGGCTAGCAGAAGGACCCTGAGAATATATAGGCTAACACGGTCTCCTGGGGAACGCCGAGTTAGGTGCATCACAGTGATACTGGTTGAACGTGTTCTGTACAGTGCGAAATGGAGTTTGACAGAAGTGCAGTATCCCTAAACCTGCTATTTCCTATCTCTTCCCAAAGCACAGGCTGCTAGAACGATGACATGCCTCAGCACAGCAGATGTTCGGGACCATAAACCAGCACTACTTGGGCATCCAAGTCAAAGTTATTAGGTGGCAATCAGGAAAAAAAAAAACATTCCAGTTTATAAAAAGTAGGAAAGCAAGTACAGGGCTACTGCAAGGTGCTTCACCAGAGGTACCAGGTCTTGCAAGCAGTCAACCCCCCGCCCAAGACCCCAGGCACCCCACAATCCCAGCACTAAAGTATCTTCAAGCATATCCAGAGATCACATCACCATTATTTCTGATCAGAGAGACCTCAGTGATCGGTTGCTTAAGAGTCCATTCAGATGAACCAGATTTGCACCCACTGCTCAAGATGGCTCGAGTGTCTTCAGAAAGCAGGTCTGAGGGCATGCAGATAGCAAACACCTTCTTGGTTGTCAGGCAGGGTGGCAGGCTGGAGCTCTGGGTCCAGTGTGGCAAGGCTGATTTCAGACACCAAAGATACCCTAGGAGGAAATTTTTTTCTTTTTCTTTTTTTTTCTTTTTTTTTTTTCTTTTTTTTTTTTTCTTTTTTTTTTTTGCAAACTGCTGCACAAACCACAGAACGGAGAAAGCCTTTGGTCATGAGATACTTGTGAGAAAGAGAGCCTTGTATGGAAGATTCCCCTGAATGCCTACAGTATTCTACATCTTAAAAAAATATATTGTGGACGCTGCAGCCATACAAAGGGGAGGAGGAGTGGGAGATGGGGATTTACAGTCTCACATAGACACAACGGGGAGGTTAAGACAAGCACAGTCATAGTCTGTAAAACTGATTGGCTCGCTGGGATCAGTCATCCTCATCATCCTCTTCGTCTTCTGGGTCTTCCTCTCCTTCATCCTCTAGATTTCGTTTTCTCTTCTCCCCCCGTGGAAGGTCTGCAAACAGAGGTGAAGCATGAAGTTCTGTTCAGTCTTGAGGAACAGCACTTGAATTGCAGCTACAAGCCTCAGCAGCCACAGCTTGCCAGTGAGCAAGCACAGACTAGACTCTCACCATGACGTATGAGATCCACCCAGCTCAGTTTCTCATGCTACCCAAAAAGCATGGACTCAGAAGCAGCAGTAACAATTTTTATGGCCTCCAAGCATCCTACATTTCATCAAGTGCTCCAAAGCAGGCTTTTTGTTGAGCAGTCCCAAAAGCTCGACTATACAGTTCAGTCATTTCTGACAGAACTCAAGAAAGAACATTTAAAGTCATGTCAGCCACCACATTCTGTCAGTGTGTTTGGGTGCTTATAACCAGAGGAGTCTGGGCTCAAGTCAAGCTCAGGTCTATACCCCTCTCTACAGCTGACAGGAGAGAGGAGCTCCTCTCACAGAGACTGCTAACAAGAGAGTCTATGACAGAAGCCCCAGTCTGGCAAGAGCCATCAGTTCAAGCTACTTAGACAGGTTCACTAGGCAATCTACCCCTAATATTTGGCTGATTTGGCTTGATAGGCATTAACAGGCACTGAAACTTATTTCCCCATCACTACTACCTAACTCTCAGGTTTTAGCCACTATTTTCTAGTTAGCTCAGACACAAGCAACAGCTTAGCAGTGCCTCCAAGGAGGAACGCTGCATTGTCATGGGAAAGCTGAAGGCAACAAGGCACAGAAGCTTGGGAAGCTCTAATAGAGCAAACATGCCAAGACTGTCAAGACAGCTTTGCAAGGCACATAGGTTATTAGAATTCAACTTACCATCATCAGCTTCATCATCTTCTTCATCCTCACCATCTTCCTCCTCATCTTCCTCCTAGAATCAAAACAAGACACCATGTTACACAAACCACAATGCTTTTCCTTCAACTCTGCTCCTGCCTTACTTAGGGTGCCAGGTACAAGCTGAGCATGGAGAAGCTCCTCTTTCTGTAACAGCACTTGTTAAGAGTTTACATGTATGGCTTTTATGGCTTGACAACTGATACAGAAACATCAGTCCAAATAGAAAATTACTGAACCAGAAAACTCTGATGGAGTAAGAATTTTCTGGATGGGAAAAGCCAAAGCCCAGGGTAGGACCCCTTGAATCTGCCCACAAACAGGCACCTGTGACACCTGGTCTGATGGGTCACAACATACAAACACACTGTAAAGCAAGCCAAAATGCTGCTGAAGACATACAGTAATGACAGAAAGCCTCACCTCATCATCTACTCCATCCTCCTCCTCTTCACCTTCCAGATCATCATCTTCATCATCTTCTTCATCGATGACTTCTTCATCCAAGTCATCTTCCTCATCATCATCCTCCTCTTCCTCACCTTCTACCAAAGGCAAAGATATTATGGTTTCCAAATATTTGCTAATCCCAGACAGAATGCCCACAACTCCCAGAGCAGAGGTAATAGGAAAAGGACCTCACACCAAACAAGCACACACAAGGAGTACCAGCAGCAAGCCCTGCCAGCTTGCAGCAAGCCTCACTTCTCTGCAGCCCATCAAAGAAAGGAATGAGCAGGGCTGTCCAAACAGCCCCTACTTCAGTGGCAAGTTATAATCATTTATATAGCAACACAACCGTAGAGAATGGGAAAATGGGCTGTTCCCCAAGAAAAAGGATTAAATTTCTTACCTTCCCCATTCTCATATTCATCTTCCAGGCCATCCCCATCTGCCTCAGGGTCTGAGTCAGGAGCTTCCTGCTCATCAGCATCAAATCCATCTAGGTACGTGAGCTGGGGCAGAAGGGTGAACACACTCTCCCTGTAGTTGATGAGCATCGTAACCTCGCAGTTGAAGAGGTCCAGACTATGCAGGTTTGGCAACTTTTTCTGCAAAGATTAAGTCAGCAGATCATTCACAAGTCAACCCTTTAACAGAAGATCAAGCAGCCATTAGAATACAGATGGTTTGCTTACTACCCATATCTAATACCAAGAAGGATATTTGCATGCATTATTTTCACCATATGCTCCTCATGTGGAGATACGTTGCTGGTTTTCCTAAGCATAGGACAACACTTATGCTGAAAGATGACTCCTTTTCAGCTCCCCTGTCCTACAGCTTCCTCTCCTTGGACCCATATGGGAATCTTACGCCTTCTTAGATGATGGAGTGGGTAACAAACACAGTGCCCAGCTCCCACACAGCAGGAGGAATTACAAAATCAGGCTCACAGTGCCCAGAAACATCAGGCAAAATGCCCAAGAGCACAACACAGGCAGCTCAGTGCTTGCAAACTGTACCTGATGTGCTTTTCAGCACAGCCACCGCAGCTCCTCCAGTCAGGCTACCACACTGTGCACCCAGCTAAGCAAAGGAGAACAGTTTCCAGCTCTTTCTGGAGAGGATGGAGGGACCACAGATAACAGCTACTGAGGCCAACTCCCTAGATCAGGCCTTTCACAGCTACTAAGTCTAGATGACAAGGCAAAAGCCTTCCTTAGGGCAGTTTAGCTGCACCAGCAATGGTGCTCCTGCATTCTTAACAGGAAACTCCTGCAATGTAAGTTGTGACAGCACCCATGGTCACAGTGCAGCATCATTGTCTTTGGATTGATGCAATGGAAGCCCTCACTGGTGTCCAAGCAACTCATCTCCATGACACCCCAGGTGCCACCTACCTCAAACTGCATCCGACCCATTAACGGTCCTTTCTCAGATGGACACTGAGCACTGCATCCACAGTTTTACTCATCCAGCCCAAATTTCATGCTTCTTTTTAGCAACTGGCTGCTGGTTTTCCAGACAGTGGAGCCATTAACTATTAGCCCAGCCTCAAATTGGACCCACTCATCTGTGCCCATCAGAACCACGAAGTGCTGTTGGAACAGTTACCAAGATGTTGGACTTCTGCTGCACAGACATGCTCCCCAAAGGAAATATCATCCCTCAGATCCCAGCACTGCCTTTCACTCACCAAGGGTTCCAGGGTATTGATGTCTTTGATCTTGTTGCCACTTAGATTCAAGTGTGTCAGGTTAGGAGTTCTCTCTGCTAGAACTTCAAGGCCACCAGAAATCCGGTTATCACTCAGCTCCAGCTGCCAGAAGGAAACATCATATGGTCACAAAGTGTTTCAGCTTTTCACAAAGGGAATACAGTTCCCTGACAACTAGACCGTAGCAGAACCCTGTTCATTAGAGAAGCAGCTCCAGTTTTCACTGAGATCCCATTTCCAAGTTAAATATAGCACCACTCCCAGCCACTTCGTACTGCAGGTTTGAGGGAGCAGTTATCCAGCCACCTAACTACAAACACTAAAACCTAAAATACAAGACTGAAATTTACAACAGTAGAAACACAAAAGGATGCTTAAAATGCAAGCTTAAAAATATCTTCTCACACTACAAAATAACCTCTTAATTGCTCAGCTTACAGACTGAGAATCCAAGAGTCTTATCTCCAGCTAATGCAGGAACAAGCTCTGACCAGATACAGATCAGCCTGCCTGTCTCAGAGCAAGGACTGCTGGAGATGGGACTCACCTTTCGGAGCTTGTTAAGTTTGGGGAGATTGGAGATGGACAGCAGGTTGACGTTGATCATGCTGAGGAACTCCAGGTTCTCAAAATCTGAAGAGAGCCCGACGATCTTCCCATCATCCGAACGGCAGTTATCAAGAACCAGCTCTTTCACCTGCCAACAGAGACACTCAGGAGCTGTCATTGCACATCCAGCTGAGTCTCACCTCAAATCCACCAAGCTGACTGTAGGCTCAGTGAAGCTTCACAGCAGCAGGCATATCTAGAGGTCTCCCTGCGCTCACCCTAGGGGACACGCAAGATCTTAAAGCCAAACCACTTCTGAGAGAGCACAAGTTACTGCAGTGAGGATTTCAACCTTTAAATATAAGCTGTACAACTTTGCACCACCATACATCTGACTCCAGCCAAGGCCTGCCAGAAGCCTTTCTTCACTAGGAAGCCTTCAGAGGTTGAACCATAAGGTTGCTTCAAAGCATTTCACACATAGCTTCAGAAAGCTTCGAGAGCCACAACCCAGGTAGAGCTAACAAAATACCAAACTAGGTCACCTGGTTCTGTCCCCTTTGGTCCTCCCCACAACACCAGGCCTGCCTTGGGCACTGGAAAGCCTGTCCCAAACAGCCACTGAAGGCACATTCCCCACATGGACTCAATGATCCTGATAGGTCCTTTCCAAATCAGGATATTTTATGGAGCAAACCCCTCACACCCCTTAGCCTCCAAGCTCTTCATACACTGATGGCATCCAATATCTTGCCAAGCACAGACTACATGCACAGCAGTCATCTTTACCTGTTCTTTCAGTATAAACCCCCCACAACAATAAGACCACAGACCTGCGCCCTGGAAGCACTCAAAAAGCAGACACACATACCTGCAGCCACCCCCCCTCTCTGAAGCACAGCTCCAGTTGTTGTGGGCCATTCCCAAAACTTGCTTTTACCCCATACATTCTTCCTCACAAAGATGCAAAAATGAGTCTTGGCCAGAAAGATCTTGTTGCTCTCCAAATCCCTCCTTTGCAGATCTCTAATTTTACCTCCTGCTCAGATCAGCCAACTCTTAGGAAGTCATACGAACTTCACTTGGTCCTGTTGTAAGGGAGCTTTCTTCCAGGGTTGCCCTGCCAACTTCACAGCAGCAACCCAGGTCAAAACGAGTTAACACAAACTCCTGAGGTGGCTGTACTGGTCAGGGCTCTGAGCAAAAAAGCTCAACCAAGAGTTCTGCAGCTGAACTCATTTTGCTCCTCAAACAAAACTCTGATTAAACTGAGACTCAGTGTCCAAGCACAGAGTACTTTTCTGTCTGGCTGTCACTTGGTTCACTCTCACCACAGAAGTGTGAGTGAACATTACTGGGTTAAGAACCAACCTAGCTGAGGAGAGACCTGCTTAACTTGGAGCAGAGCCTTGCCCTGGCCAGCAGAACAAACGCTGCAGCTGGCAGTGCAAAAGCAGAACAGGACTGAGCAGCCAGGACTGCTCCTTCCAGCAGCAGTACTGGCTCGTACCAGCCTCGGCTGCAGGGCACACACGCTCTGAGCCTGCTCTTTTCCCCAGCATGCCACACTCAAATTCCTGGTGTCAAACAAGAGGAAACCTGCAGCTTGCAGCCTCCAAGGGACACTTCTGTTCCTCACACTGTTCTCGTTCTGCAAGTTCCTTCACCATCCAGAAAGGCTCTAGCTTCAACCACAAGCTCCATTTATGGAGCGTTTTCCTTGTGATCCCAGCTCGATTTTAAGCAACCCAGGGCAACGTGCTGCAGAGACGCAGCGATCTGTTCCAGGAGCTGGATGACAGTCACAGCTATCTTGCCATGAGGAAGCCAGCAGGATGGCACAGCCGGCCTCAGATAAGGACAGGCCTCTTTGCTGAAGCACTGCACACAGCAGCGATGAGCTGCTCCAGAAGCTGAGGCTTAAAGGACAACACAAACGGCTTGAAAGGGTGCACAAGTCCCAGCCTCAAGCTCTGGCTGACCGCTGTGTGCAGTGTGATCTAAACACCATAGCAGCGAGGCAGTTTAACTGGCCCCACCAGCTGAGCAGACAGCATTCCTCAGCACAGCAAAGGACATACAAGCCACAGGCAGGCACTGGGAAGGAGAAAGTTCAGCCAAAGCGGCAATGGAGAAGGAAACTGAGCAGCAAAGTGATTTAGGACAGCTCAGCTATCGCCTCGCTCCTTTTTTTAGGCTGGGTAGGTCTATCACAGCACCCTCCTCCTGCCAACGTGGGCTCTTCATGTCCGTGCTTCAGCACTGAGCTTCCCCTCCTCCAAGAAGGAAGAAACCCCACTCCAAGGCACAGGCCCGAGCATGGGAATTTCCACCTTTCTTTCCCCACTTTCTCCTCTCACAGCGAGCCCACGCAGCCCTGCCTGCCTGCGCGAAGGAGAGGCCGGGCTGTGAATCACCACCAGCAGCGGGGAAAGTACAACCCGTGCTGCTGCCATCGCCGGCTACGCTACGAGCTCGGCTCACCGGGAGCCTGCAGGGCGATCAGAGCCCCGCACACCGGGCAGCCCGCAGCCCCGGGGGCGGCACGGTGCCTTCCCACGTTCCCCACGCAGCAGCGGGGCGGGCGGGCTGGCAGCGGGGCGCGGCCGTGCCGGGCTCCTGGGGGCACAGCAGGCTTTAAGGAAGGCTCGAGGCCGCAGCCCCAACACGAGGCAACTCCGGTCCTCGCCGCCCCTCAGCTCCGGCCCTCGGCGCAGTGCCTCCATGGCGCCCGGGGCCGCCCCTAACATGGCCGAGCCGCGTGCGCGGGGCCGCTCCGGCCATGTTAGACGGCCCGGCGCGGCGGGAGCCATCTCAGCACCATTTTGGGCGAGCTCCGGGCACGGTAACGGCGGCAGCGCCGCCCAGCCCTGCTCCGACACGTGCGCACGCTCCGCCGTGGCGCCCACGGGCCGAGCCGGGCCCCGCCGCTCGCTTCGCGTTCCTCCCCGCCCTCCCGGCCCCGCCATGTGCTCGGCGGCAGCGCTACCTCTCCAGGCTTCTTGTTGCGCAGCTCCAGCGTGAGCCGCTTTTTCATCTCCATTCTCCCGCCGCCGCCGTGCCGGGCTGAGCCGAGCCGAACCGAGCAGAGCTAGAACCGAGCTCGCCGAAGCCGAGCCGAGCCGAGCCCGCCGGAGCCCGCGCGCCGCCGCCGCCGCCGCTTATATAGAGGAAGGCGCCAACGGCAACAAAGGCGGCGCGCCAAGCGCCCCCTGGCGGCTCCGCGCCCCTCCGCGCCGCGCAGCCCCGGACCCCGCCGCGCCACAGCGCCCCCTGGCGGGTTCCGCCGCGCGTGGCGGGCGAGGGGCGGCCCTCGACAAAATGGCACCCCGGGGCGCGGGTGGGGGTGCGCGGGGCCGTGCGGCTCAGCGCCCTGCTTCAGGGCTCCGTCTCCTCGGGGAGAGTGCTGGCGGGCTGCCGGGCCCGTCGCGCAGCCGCAGTGTGTGGTGGCACAGCCATGTCCGGCGTGGCGGTGTGGAGTGACGGTGCAGTTCTGCAGGCTCGCCCTGTGCTTATCATGGCGACGTTTGGACTCAAAAAACGCTGTCCCGGTCTGAAATGTTCAGGTGGTCCCGATGCCTTCAGTCCCTGCGGATGGGAGCCAGGACAAGGTTAACCCAGTGCAGGGGAAATCACCACATCACGTCCCCTCATGGCAGTAGGGCTTTGGGATCTCCTCCATGTCCCAGTCCCTGGTTGGGACAAGGTTGCTGTATGATCTCCCCATTACCAGCAGGTCACCACGTTACATCCCCTCACTGCTTCCTTCATGGCTGTGGAGCTTCAGGGGGACACATCCAGGTCCCCTTGGACCTGGTAGGGTCACTGTGTGGTTTCCCCATTATCACAGCTCCCATCACAGCTGCGGAGCCTCAGAGTCACCTCCAGGTCCCCAGGGCATGGCCAGAGTGAGGTCACTGTGTGACTTGCATGTTATGAGGAGGTCATCACATCTCACAGCTCCCCCCATGGCTGCAGGGCTTTGGGATCTCCTCCATGTCCCAGACCCTGACTGGGACAAGGTTGCTGTATGATCTCCCCATTACCAGCAGGTCACCACGTTACATCCCCTCACAGTTCCCCTCGTGGCTGTGGGGCCTCAGGGGAACACATCCAGGCCCCATTGCTTGGACAAGATAGGGTCACTGCCTGATCTCCCCATTATCACAGCTCCCATCATGGCCGTGCGGCACTGGGGACGTGTCCACATCCCAGTACATGATTGGAATGAGGTGACTGTGTGATCTCCCCATTGCCACAGCTGCAAGCCGGGATGTGGCACTGCCCTCTGTGCTGAGCCTCCACTCCAAGATTCCTCGGGGATGTGGCACTTTGTTAAACCTTGGCTTAAAAACATGCTGGGAAGCCTCTCCCATCACTCCATGTAAACAGGAACAGGAGTGCAGACAGAGCAGTGCTGCAGTCCCACATTGTCCCCTTTGGCAGAGGGCCACCAGCCGTCCTCCTCTGAGGAAGTGGCTTAGCTGTGTTACCGTCCAGCTCTGCCAGTTGGCTCCAACATGAACTGTGTTTTACGAGGAGCAGCAGAAGGAAGCGGCCATGTTCCACAGAGGGCTTGGACCTTCGAAGGGGTCTGAATGAGTGCTTTGTGGGAGAAGCATCGCCACGAAGAAAAGCTGTGTGTGGAAATGGTGTGTTCTGGCATCGATGTGATCTGCTTTGCTCATGCCGTGGTTTCTCCAGGCCCGCTGCATGCCAGGAGCTCCAGGCTCTCTGCCACAGGGTATCACAGTGCTGATATCCCCTGAGGAGCTTCAGGGCTGGGGCTGCATGGAGGTGTGCAAGGGCTGAAGAATGATAGAATCATAAAATCATTAAAAGAGGGGCAATTTAGGCCAGATGTTAGGAAGAATACTTCTTACCCAGAGGGTGGTGAGACCCCGGCACTGCTGCCCAGAGCTGTGAGTGCCCCATCCCTGAAGGTCCCCAGTGCCATGGATGGGCACTGAGCAGCCTGAGCTGAGGGAGGGGGATGTCACCTAGCCCAGAGCAAAAGGATTGGAGCTCAGTGATCTTTAAGGTCTCTTCCAACCTAAGCCATTCTATGATGCTATGATTAAGTCCGGAGCAGACCCCTAAGATCACCCAGTCCAACCCCAACCCATCACACCATGCCCACTGACCTTGTCCCTCAGTGCCACATCTCCACATTCCTTGCACATCTTGAGGGACGGTGACCCCACCACGTCCCTGAGCAGCCTGTGCCAATGCATTACTATTGTTTCTGATAATAAATTGTTCCTAATGTCCATTAAGTGTCCTGAATGCTGGATCCCACTGGGGACACCGGACAAGCATGGAGAGCAGGCCAAGACTGGAATAAAGCCCAAAGCCTTGCAGCAAAGCCCAAAGTGTCACCTCCTTGTCCTGTCCCAAATGCTGCACTGCCCAGGCCCCATTAATTGCATTCCCTCCTTCACTGGGTGAATCCAGGCTCCTCTGGTCCCTCTGGGCCTTCCCGAAGTCCTGCCCTTTGGACTGAGGACAGCAGGTCCCAAAACCTCATCCCTCCCCACCAAGAATCCCATTTGCTCCGAGCTTCTGCAGGCTGCTCCTGGGCAGAGCAGCTGGGAGATGAGCCGAGAAACCCCCTCCCTTCCCCCCCCCCTCCCCCCCCCCCCCCCACTCCACTCCCTTGCTGATCTGCATTTGTTTTAAGGTCTCTTTCATGTACTCTTTGAGGCTCGTTTCCTGTTCTTTGTAGAAAACAATGCTTCCCTCCCCAGCCCCCCCGGCCCATCCCACGGCGGCTTTATGTCCCCTCCCTCGGGATTCACTGCGCTGGGTTCCCCTTGTTTTAAGTTCGCCTTAAAACACGAAACCCCGCTCTGATTGAACCCAATTGATTTTAAAGCTGTGTCTGGTATTTGATGTCTGCTAGATGCATTTAAACGGATCTCAACTTTCTGCACTGGGCAAATCAGCACGAAGCTGGTAATTCACTGTGCAAGGGACAGGGATGGGAAGGCTGAGATCTGTGTGCTGACTTGGGGCAAAATTCAGGACTGAGGCTCTGTGTAAGCTGCAGTGGAGATGCTCAGAATAACGCGTGACCTATTATACAACACGATGTCATGGCTGTGCTTTGCACTGCTTGAACTGCTTTGTTCTTGGCACAGTGCCTCGCTGAGTGGATCCTGCACAAATAGGGCATCGCTGCTGCCTGCACCACAGCGACTTTCACACCACGCCGTACTCGTATCCCAGCACAGAGATGAGATTCCCCAGGCCTCCTGGCTGTTGTGAATCCCAAGCATCCAGTCCTGCGGGGATATACTGGGATCCAACCACAGGAGAACAGAGCAGCTCCTCCAGCAGCACCTTGGTGCCCGTGTGGAGATGGAGGAGCGTTTCACTGGGGCATCTCACTCCTAAGATGGGATGTGTGGGAAGGTGCAGTGATCTTCTCCCTTAGCTGAAGGAAGTAACCCAAAGATTCTGTTACGGATTTACAGACAAATAAAGCATCGACTGCGAGATGAGAAAAACGGTGTTGCATCCAACAGCCCAGCAAGAAGAAGGTAGACGAAGAGAACAGTTGTCCGAAGCCATGAAGAAGGAATTCCGTGATTCTAGCTGCTGGGAAGTGGGGCTGTGAAGCTTGCAGGACTGCTCGGTGCCAGCAGAGGGAAGCATCCCCCCGGCTCCGGATAGACCTTATATCGGCCTTCAGTGCCTACAGGAGTCCACAGGAAAGATGAAGAAGGACTGTTTATACGGGAATGTGGTGATAGGAATAAGGGGCAGCGGCTTTCAGTTAAAAGAGAGGAGATTTAGGTTGGATGTTAGGATAAATATCCTTGCCGTGGAGGTGAACAGGCTGCCCAGAGAAGCTTTGGATGCCCCATCCATGAAAATGCTCAAGGTTGGATGGGGCTTCAAGCATCCTGATCCAATGGAAGGTGTCACTGCCCATTGGGTTGGGATTGGATGGCTGTTAAGGTCCCTTCCAACCCAAACTGTTCTGTTATGGATGATTCTATGACCACCAGGCAGCTCTTCCAAGAGGGCAATGCAGAGATGCCCAAAGGGTTTGGATGCCTCCAGGCACTTCTGCTCAGTGCCTGGAACAGGAGCTGTTGTCTGAGGGCTCCCAAAAGGTAGCAGGATGAAGGAGGCACATCCAGAAGGAGGCTCAGCCTGATTTTGCCTCTGACTTGAATGTTGTGCCTCCAAGAGCAGGCAGGATTTGATCCTCAAAAAGCAGAGGCACTGCAGTTTCATGTGCAGTATTTCCCCAGTGTGGGATAAAGTCACGATTCTCTCCTATTTGCAGTGTTGCTCTTTTATTGGTGATTCTCCTAACGGTGCACCTGGGACATCAGTCTGTCTACCCTGAGCTTTTTGCACAGCGAGGGCCCTACAAGCTTTGCAGTTTGTGCTTTAATATTTTATCTGCTAATCCCTGGCTGGAAAAGAAAATCCAACCACTCTCAGTGGAAATTATTCATCCTGCTGTGTGACTCACAACAGAGGCTGTATCAGGTTTGAAACATGCAGGTGGCAGACAGACACCCGTTGGTTCCTTTGGACTCTTTACAGATAGATTTTTTTCAATCCCAGCCCAGGGGTTCCTCAGTCCAAGATGATTTATTCCCTGTGCTCTGCAGGAATTAGCTTTGCCTTATACCTATGTAACCATACAACACGCAGCTCCTATCTCAAAGCAGATCTGGAGGCACCTTGCCCATCACTGAACTGTCCAAGAGGGAATAGAGCAGGGAAGCTGTATCCCATCACTCTCCAGAGATTATACCTGTGCCTTCTGGGCCACTTTCTCCCAGCAAATGCCCCCAGCATCATTTCCACCTCATCCATGCTTGGAAACGTGGAGTGCGACCATGCAGCCTCAGGGCAGTGGGGATGTGTCCAGCCCCAGTGAAGGATGGAGTGCCTTCAGCCTCACCCCAGCACAGTTGTCACCTCTGAGCTGCCTCTGACTGTTTGCAATACATGGAGAGAAAAAAAAAAACAAAGGTGGTGGATAATTACTGTTTTTGCTGGCTCTGTAATGTCTTCCAGCTCAGCTGGACCAAACAAAACAACGCCAGGAACTGTCATTATGGCTATTACTGCGTTGTGCTACCGCAGGATTTCAGATCCTCTGTGAGGAGTCAGCACTGAGGGAGACCACAGAGAAAACCTGTCCTGGGAGCTGGC